TGTTCGTTTAAATTGAAGAATCACAACTGACATGTTATCGCATCCGACACCAAACGGTCGTGGGGAGAGACACCGCTCGAGAAGCTCTTCCGCTATCTTCTCCAGAGGAATATGGGACTGAATGCGGTGACGCACAAATTCTACTACTTGATCATTGTTTAGCACATCCCATATACCGTCACAGGCGATGACGGCAAACTCGTCATGGTCGCGATTCAAACGAATAAAACGCACCTCTGGAGCACTCGTAACGGCCTGCTGATCCCATGACACCTGCATGTTGCACTTAAAGACAAAGTCCCCAATGGCTCGGCTAAGTGCAAGAGCTCCATTGACGCGGCGGTTCCATACATATCCCCCTGCCCTTTCTATCCTTGCTAACTCGGTTGGAAGAAATGGCTTGTGGTCATTACTGAGGGGCAGTGGCTCCCCGTCACGACACAAAACACAGCGACTATCCCCAGCGTTACCGCAATACAAGTCATCTTCCTTAATGAAAAGGACAATTGCCGCGCAGCCACTCCTCTCATTCGAGTAGTTGGCATACAAATGTTTATCGATGGCAAGAAAACCGTCATACAGAGCCTTTGCGTAGTTCCCCTCATCAAATGCCGCAGTCTTTGATACAAAATCAAAGAGGTTTCCGGCACAAAACCTTGCGACGTTTGATCCACTATGGCCGTCAAAGACACCAAAAAAACCTCCATCGTCATCAAGCAGCACTACATGATCATCTTCCATGCTTCTACGCCATCCTTGCATGCAGCTAAACCCATAAGATAACCAGGCATTTTCTTTAGACCCCGATGATTTTTGCACATTTGGCTGATGCATAACATCCGCTCGCCGCAACATGTCTTGGTAGTCCGTCTCACCCCGCGTCACGACCACTAATCGGAAAAGAAATTTAAGCAAATTGAGGGCACCGATAAACCAAAAAAACGCCAAAGTAAAAAGTGCCGTTATAGAGCCAAACCTCACTGCCATACAGTAAGCAACGGTCACGGATGCCAAAAAGGCGCAAATGGAACAAAGTAACGCGAGCCATCGCACCCCTACGGACCTAAGGGAGAGTGGATGTAACACCCCGCCAGTCGCCATTTCCCTTCACTTGTACGTCCGTAGAGAACGCCGAGGCTCCTCCTCCCTCGGAATGCGCCCCAAGTAACTATTAACTCCTCTACCCCCTTCTATATTAATTTATCCTTGCGCTCACTCCTATAAGAACGTTCCAAAAGCAATCCCTCACAAAAAAAAAAAAAAGGATAAAAACAAACGCAGGGCTGTCCCGCTGTGACTATATGTATATATGCTTATATCCTTGTATTGAGGTATTTATAGGAATACCTAAATAGAATATGCAATTTAGGACTAATTTCACTTTTTATTTGTGCCCACCATACATATATGTATATATTCCAGAGAAATAAACCGAGATATGGGGGAAGCAAAATAACATCAACAAGAATACAGGTGATAACGACACTCTCAGAAGCATCCACACCCTCTCAAATGGATGAAGCATCACAAGTAACTCAGTATTAAATAAAGGCCTGTAGAAAAGAAAAAAAAAATCCCTGGAGGAGCAAAAAGTATCCATCATCCATGTTTTTGGCTGTTCGATTTAATTTTCAATCGTATGACAACCTTCATATAACCACCAGCAAAAAAAAAATACACACACACACACACACACAGATATACATGTACAGGGTACCGCAAAAAAAAAAAAAAGGAATATAATAAATTCCAAAATGCCCTGGCGCAGCCGGCCACCTCAACGTGGCGCCAGGGACTAGTACTCTCTTACCAGGGAGGAAGCTAAGCGCCTGCTGTTCATGCTTCAAACAAGATGCGTACTTGTCTACTTAGTTTTACTGGCCTGAATGGCACAAGTTGAGGCCATTTGTAATGGCTGCCCGCGGAGTAAGGTTATCCCTTGCTGCTGAATTCCATCGTACGCTTACCAGAGCTGCACAATTGAGGTGTAGTTACTACGGCTGGTAAGGACAAAAAAAAAAACATCCAAAATGCAGCCACAAAAAATATCGGCTGCCCTCTCAAACAAACAAACAAAAAAAACAACAACCAAAAATGATGAATTTTACGCCAACAAAAAATGAAGTAAAAAAGACGGAAAGCGCCAAGTGCTAATGAAAACAGCAACAACGCCAACAGTGGCAGCAACAGAAACACCGTATTTTATTTTGCCCACGCACCCACACATAAATTTCTCCGCTTCGTTTCATAAGAAGATACAAATAAACTGACGCAAAGAGAAAAAAAGAAAACATAAGATTCAAATTGGGTGGTGAAATAAAATGGGGATCAGTTTCACCGCAATTCTTTGTGCCTACCTAAGGAAGCAGCCAAATATTTACGTAAAAGAAGCTGCAGAATCGTCGTCGCTACTTGCAGAAGAATTTTCGGCCGAATTGCTCAAAGATGTTACAGCAGTAGTGCTGGTACTTGACGCTAACATCATAGTAACACCTGGGGGTACAAAATCCTTCTTGGAAAGAGTCTTCTCCGCCGTGGTAGATGGCTGCTCATGATCCACGGCCCTTTCCGCAGCAGCGACAGGAGATGTGGAGGGCGTTCCTTTGGGTGCAACGCTGTAATATTCGAGAGGTAGCTGGCCGATCAATTGTACGACATCGTTCGCTCCAGTTAAAGTTTCGTAAACGTAGCCTCCAAAGCGATGTGACGTGGATACCGTTGTGTGGCTCTGCACACGTTGGATAATAAGGCTGGATAAATCACCCTCATCAGGATGGTTAGCGGCTGGCCTGGGCGTCGCCATGGGGTGAAATGCCTTCACATCTTCAGAATCCGATCCCTCGTGCGACCACTTCGAGACATTCTGAACATGCCTCAGTTCCCACTCTTCTGTATGAGATGATACGGTGGACGTGGTGCGGTCCCCCACAAATTCCGTTGGAGCGATCTTTCCAACGTTTGCTATGGACTGGGCGGAAAAAGGGTCATTGGCAAGCTTGTCCACAAGTGTCTTAAGAACCGAGTGATTATCCAAAAGGGACGCCAGGAGGGACACACCGTTACCGGAGTCAAACGGAGACGGACACGGTATCTTCGTCCACGCCGCCAATCGTAGACTTTTCACCTTGGAAGACACCTCATCCGCAAGGACGAGCACCACCAGCCGATCTTTAAGCGGTGTCTCATCAGTAAATGAATTGTATGCCGTACCAACTCCCAACCCTCGCTCAATATCGGGCAGAAACTTTAGCAGTTGATCAGTCACAAATCCATGATTCTGCTCATGGTACCGAAGCAGCGCTGCCACCAGGGCAAGAATCTTGCTCCACAACGGCAATGGTGTCTCCGGCGACTGAAACAGAAAAATAAGCGGCGCAACCACAATTGTTTCAAACTTGTGCTGAAACAATGACACGTGCTCCTCAGTTAATTTATGGCTTTCTCTTGCAAGGTCGACGCAGCTGTGTAGTGAACAAAGATCCGTGTGGTGGCTCTTTGAGCACGACGACGTCATTCCCACAGAACCTCTTTTCCAAGCATTCCCTCCAATGACTCGACGCAGCAAAACATCAACAGAAGAGACGCCAAAGACCTTTAGTGCAATTTGAAAGAATTCCCCAAGTACAAACATGATGCGTGACGACAACCCCTCGGAGGTCCTCTCAGAACCAGGTGAAAGCAGAAGAAGGCCCCGCTTCCACGACTCTGCAAAGTAGCATACATAGCTCGAGAATGGACGAAACACGGAAGATCGCGGCGGGCATGTATCCCTTTGGGTGGATAACACCCGATACTGTTGGCGCTGCGGGTCACCAGAGGCCTCCGTTTTGGTGAATGCAGTAAACTTCGGCGCATACTTTTCATAATCAAGAGATTTCCAGTCACACAAAAGCAACAATTCCGTAAAAGCCAAAAACACTGCAGGTTCCTCCTTCTCACCCGCATATTCATTGAGATAGTTCAAGACCACATCCACTGCGTGATCCAAGCTGTGATCCTCCTCTTCTGAGAATGCCGCATGTCTCCAAACGTTCCTACTCGTCGTTAATTCTTTGCCCTGATGCAAAAAAACAAGTTGCACAGCCGCCAAGTCCGGTGCGATGTTTAAGCCCAACGAGTATAGCGACGAGAAGGGAGGGGAAGAAATTGTGCCAAGAAACTCCGCGCACCCATAACGATGAAAGACCGCGAGCAAATCACACGCTGCCTGCCACGTGTTGGAATCAAGAAGAAATGCAAAACCCGTCCAAAAACTTGTCAAAAGATTATGCGCCGGAAATGAACTATTGTCACCAAAAGGAGCTGACAGCAAAAGCGCATCCTGTTTCCTTTCCTCCACCTCTTTCGTAAGAGTCCCTGTGCAGTAGTATATTTCATGAATGATGATGTCACTCAAAAGGCATGCCAGTGACCTCAGAACCGAAGTGCAGAAAGCGTGCCCCTGTGCCCGCACAAATGGCTCTTTCAATGAAGAAGAAGAATCATTCTGTAAAGCATTGGTCTGATGCAACAGCGCATTGAGGAACCGTCGAAATGCACTTTCCCCCGCTAGCTGCATGGCTGTCTTCTCCATCCATTTATGCTGACAATCACGTCCCACCACCAAGACACCTGTTGTGCACGAAAGGCAAAAAGATATCACTCGCGCCACTTTCAAAGAGAGGAGTGAAATGTAGGAATGAAGCGTATGCAACCGAACTTTGGCCTCGCTTTCCTCGTAGCTATTGTGCTGCAACCATGTTGAGAACTCATGGAGACACCGTAAAAGAAAATGACGTCCTCGTACATTTCTTCCTTGTCCTGTAATATTAAAAAACAACTCCTTTAGAACAAGTTCTACAGATGACGATGGACTATCAGAGCAACCCACATCAAATGCATTCCCCCCGAAAAATAAAGATGGTTCAAAGGTCAGGGAGCTTCCATTGTCATTAAAATTTTTGAAGTCCCTCTTCATTGCCTCACAACGCTTTAGCCGTGCAAACGTTACCTTCAGCCAGCTTTTGAGACTCGATGATGATCGACAAATCCCTTCTGACGCAGTCTCTTTCAAAAGAATACCAAGTACTTCAAACGCTGTTTCCAGCACATGAAAGCGTGACGATAGCTCGTCCGATTCCTCCCTGCAACGCATCTCTCCAAATCCCATGTGCACAAGCAGTAAACAAGTAAAGTGAAGAAATAACGCAACAAAGTCCCTCTGTAGCAGGCGAAGTGGATCATTTATTCGACTTGCACGCTTTAATTTCTCCTCCCTCTTCAATTTAGCTGCCTGTTTCATGTTCGATGCAATCACCTCCGTGACACTCACCTTTGGGACATCCGCGTTCACAACAACTGTGCCAACGCTGCTCTCCTCTGAATGATGCCCCGCCTCCACTTCGGCATTCCCCTCTCGTTCCTGCTCTTCCTCATCACCATCCTCATCCTGGTCAGCCATTGTGTTATCCACCTTATGATCTTCCCATGTCGAAGATGTCTGGTAGTCACTGTGAGTATTACGCTCGGCCACGGAACCCAAGTGTTCGGCAGAATCATCCGTTTCACTCTCCGATGTGGTTTGATCTTCTAAAGATGATAAAAACATATTGGGGGTGACGACGGGCTTCAGATCTGTTGCTGAATCCCTCATCGTCAAACCGGTAATGCTCGAAAGATCTCTGTGTAGCTCCTTCCAGAGGCGCCAGTCACGTTGCTGCAGCCGCCTAATTGCCCAGGATGCAAAAAAAAGAACACTCAAAAGAGGCTTGACAAAGCCCAGTTCCTGAAGCATTGCAGAGTCCTCTACAAATTTGCCGGATTCCCGGCTCATGCTACGTTCTGTGAGAGTCTCTCCGAAAGAATGAACCCCAAAATTTTTCTTGAGGTTCTCGTTTGTTAGCTTCAACGAAATCCGCCAAATGTTCTCATTAATAATCCATAAAAATTTGCTTTTAAGTTTCACATTCAACTCCATCTTTCTATTTGCCTGAGAGTCAAGGGAGCCGGGGCCAAATGAAGACCACGCAATGAGACTCTGCCAACCCCAGTCACTCTGTTGCATGTTGTTTAACGTTGACTCCCCTAAGGGCTCCAAATTAGTTTTACTCTTATCATCATTGTGGGACACAATATGCCGCAAAAGCCTCATTTGGTACAGTGAAAAAAGAAGAAAGCCGTAGTACGCACCACGTGAACGCCCGTCTAACTTACCATCTTGCCCCTTTCCCCGCATTGCCATTTCATGATTGATGTAACTGTCAATGTATTGCGTTACCACACGCTTGTCTGCTAAGTCCATGGAGGATAGCACCAGGAGTGAAGTAAAACGTTCCCTTTCTCGTCCCTCGTACGCAATCCATCCACCCCATAGGGTAGCGAGAGCAAGCTCCGAGCTCGTATTTCGGCATGCTTGTGTAACCCGGAGCACAGTGCGCAGATTGGACTCTGTTGGTCTCACTCGACGCAAAAAGAACGAGAGCAGACTTAAGGCTATGCGCTGCCTTTCAATTGCACTGGATGATTTGCGTCCAACTGATAAAATATCTTCACTCGCCATGACAAAAAGATTCTGTACAAGTCTATTGTCTGACTCCACTTCTCCACCACCTTGTCGACATGCCTTCAAAAGCAAGCATAGCCAATCATCTAGCGGATCTGCCATGGGTTCAGCAGGAGCTTCCCCGCAAAGCAACACAAGCAAATCATATGCCTTTGACCGCACCGTGGAATCAAAGAAATAACCAAATGTTCCATCCCTGTAAAGATAGGCCAGGGCATAATAAATGACGCTCCCCATATTCTTCAGCTCCAAGGTAGCACAATCGTTCCTCCATGTATTGCTCAAGGAACTGAGAGGAGCATCATAACTTGCAAAGGATCGTGCAAAAGATGAGGTTGCCTTACCGTAATGTTTCTGAGACAAAAGAGGTCCTTTTCGTCCATCCCACATCGAAGAGCATGCCGTTACAATCACAGAAAAAAAATTACGATGTACAGGGCTGCCTAAAGGAAGTTTGCAAAGTAGGCAAAACACAGAATCCCGTAACGGGGAGTCGGCCACCAATAGCGTTACCGCAAGCCCAAACACACTCGGTGCATAAGTTTCAAGATTTTTGCAGTCAATCGGCAACGATTCTTGTAACCATTGAAAAAATTTTATGCCAAATGTATTAATGATCGCAAATGCGAGCTCTAACTGGTTCCGTTGAAGTGTGGGCTGTACCAGTGAAGAGACTACAGTTTGTAATGCGAGGATACTCTTCTCCATCCCTGCATTCATGTTCTTCGGCAATTTCTGCCCAAAGCCCTTCCCAGGATAACTGGCGTTTCCTTGAAGAAACCAAAGCACCTGGTACTTTAGCGAGTAAAGAACTTTCGTCAAAAACTTACTCTTCATTTGCGGCTCCAGAAATTTGGCATCTTTGGAGTAAACGAGCGCAATCACATCACATAAAACACCTCGAAGAAACACTGTCAGTTTAACTTCATTCAATGTATCGCCATTGGACGTGGGCTTGCCTTCACTCTGCGCAATCACTGAAGGGAGAGACTGAAGTGACAGGCATGATCGCACAGACACACCGTTTCCCTCATACAGCATGCGACTTAGAGATTCAGCGGACAATCCGTGTTCATTATCATGCTCACCCGCATACTCTTTACCGTTGGAATCGCCCAAAAGCAGACTATCAATAACCCCTTGAAGAACGGTCTCCATTCGAGCACGTTGTGTGGCAACCGTGTTCTGCTTCCACCCTGGGACAAAGGGAGGCTTCACAAAGTAACGGCGGCTAATAACAAGAATCATAGGAAGTAAAACAACATAACAGGTATGGAAAATAACTTGTTTACCTCCACGTGCTTTGCTGCGTCCTACTGCTAAAACATCATGCATTGCCGTTACGATGGGATGGTCGCTATCCATTACACCACAGTAAGTTACAAGAGATGTATTTCCCGTCGCGACGCATTCCATTGGACCAAGAAGTAAATATTGCATCATATCCAAAAAACATGGTGGGATGTTCTCCGTGTTGATTTCATTCAAAAGAAGAGGCACCGTGACAACGTTCATAAGGTTTTGATACGCCGCATAGCGGTTCACAATTTGCCAGTCTACATCCTTCAAATCATCGGTACCACCCACAAATGTAGAGTTGCCGCCTTGTTGATGCCCTGGGCGGTTCCGCTCGCCCCCACGTGTTAACCGGTTGGCATCCGGGGATGACTTCACATTATCAACACACAGTAAAAGAAAATTCAACGCATAGCAGGACCTCCAAACAGGTGAACTTCGCTCGATGTACCGTTTAACTCCTCTTTCAACTATCTCTCCCGCAATTGCACACACCACACGCACCAGCACAGAACCTGGGCAGTAGCCATACATCAGGAGCGCCAGTGCGGTGGTGGAAACAAAAACAAAGTGGGGTGTGGTCCCATCATCAGAGAGGCAATGTACACCAAACGACGTGGCAGCCAGCGTGCTTTCACGTCCAATTGTTGATGGATGCAGGCAATCGGGGACCTTGTGATAAAAGCTCGGCTTCGACCACGCGTCCCTTGAGACCCTATGCTTTGCATCCTCGGTTAATTTATCATTTATGGAGCTTGCCAAACTGGGCGATCTTCCTTCAAAAACATGAACAAGAGGCACGTAGCGTTCCTTATTCGAGGCGTACATTTCGTCAAACTGTTCTCCTAATTCTTCAAAAATATCTGCTACCGCAACACGCGGATAGCGCGGCTCCTCTGCGCCCACAGAAGGTCTGCTTGCTTTTAGTGTGGATAGCATCGGGTCGTGTGCGTTGTAATGGTTGTCATCAAGGTGTGAACTGTCGGTTACCTGTGATGTTGCCCCGCAATGAATTCGCTGCAAACGCAAAAGGGAAGAAACCAACTCCAAAAGAAATAACGCATTTCGGCGCACCTGCAATTTTGTGTGGCCCAATAGTACGACTGCCAGTCCTTCCAGCAAGTCTACAAGAGCCGCGTTGCGCACAGCGGGGACGGCACACCAATTCTGTGAATCCGTTGAAGAGAGCGACTCTTTGGGACTCAGTGGACTCATATCCAATACATTCAACAGCCATGCCCACTTGCTGCGACAAGAGGCCAGTTTCTTATGGTAAGACTCCTTATCATAAGAATTCTTACTAAAGGGGAAACCTGCCACGCCATTTTCCTCGGGTTTCACCGCGCACAATTCTTCATTCACAAGGGACTCCATTCTATCCCGCAAGTTCATGAGGTGCAATACCACGTACTCCGCTAGATGTGCCACACGGTCATCCTCATCGTTTCCCAATAACACAATGATGCATTCTACTAGTCGGTGTAGGGCGAGAGCCCAACTCCACATGCCTTGTTCATTCCTCTTAAGAAAGTAAAATGGAAACACAATGTTTGACACTGCATCATACAACGGCGTCTTTGGTCCCACGAGTAACATTGGAAGTGCAAGGTTATATTCCAGCAGCACCTGCGGCGGATCCCAAAAACGAGCAATGAGAAAAATGGGAACCAGTTGGTGGGCGTACTCCATGTTTTCTTCAGAATATCCGTTCTTATGGATCTGCCCGGCATAATGAAAGGCGGCCTCGCGAAGTTCAGTGATCCCCTGCCGAGTCTCCTCGCTCGTCCTCACAAAATTAATCACATTTTTTAAATGCCCCCCTCGCCAAAATATCGCAAGAGCCTCCACAGTGGCCACCACCGGTCTGTAGCACGTCCCGTGAAGCGCAATAAATCCAATTATTGTCTCTTTTATAGAACCCTTTTGATCAAGGGGTGTGTTATACAGGGCACAAAGCCTATTCCTGTTCTCACTCGTATGGCTGCAGGCCAAAAAGATGTCTTTTGCGGCAATTCCTCCGTGGCTAACAACGGAGTGACTCCCACAGTAATACAACTCAAAAAGAGCCCAAATGGTTCTTATGGCTATCAATCGACCACGGGTAACAACGGCGCTGATTCCGCTCTTCGATAGGGTTCTTGACTTCGCTTTCGTTTCCATTAGCCTCGCTAGCCAATGGAGTGCCGATGACTGAAATGGTTCCTGCTGCAGTGTGAAAACCAAAAGATCCGAAGCAATTTCAATGCAGGAAGAACTGAAAGGTGCGTTCTTCCACGGCTTAGAACCGATTCCGTTTAGCAACATCTTTTCCACGGAACGAAAAAAGCTCGAAATGGAATCATTCCACTTGTACGGGGAGGCAGAATCATTATTAGCGCACACGTCACACAGCAATCCCCCGGCGTGCAGTGTGGAGTGAAGGATAGCAATTCTTTCCATGTTATTTGCCGACGCGAACCATGACTCCATGGTGTCAAAAAACAGAGGCAGCCTCCGCTCCAATTCCTTTAGAGAACATCTGCTAAGAAGTGCTGCCATTGAAAGTGCGTAGCAGATGGCATTTTTAGCTTTACGCCAGTTGTCAATTTCGTCCAACAAACTCTCCACCACTTTTTCTGCGCATACACACCGTTGTTGCTGCGTATCAGAGTAGACACTGCCGTGAGGGAATGATTGAGGAAGGAGGCATAAGGAAAGAACAATTGTCACCAACTCTTTTAATCGCCTCTCTTTCTTTGAAAGCACCAACATCTTCCGAAGGAGATCAAGAAGATCGTTCAGTAAAGCATGAGTAGCCACACGATGATTGAAAATATAACATAAATGCATCATGCAGCGATACAATCCATTAAAAATATCTCCTATTGTCCTCTCATTTTTACCGCCGTTGCTCGTCTTTGATAGCCCGCAGACATCTAAAACGATGGCGATCGTCTCCTTAAAACGGGATGAAAAAAAAGATGATGGATATTCTCTAAGAAAAATTGGAAGACTATTTGCCCGTAAATTATCCGCAACATGTGATTTATCATCCATTGAAGTTCCCCACCACCCGTGTTGCCGCCTCCAAATAAAGATCAAATCCTGCACAAGACATCCATGATCCGCGGTGCTGTGGGATGGATCCGCTTCATGAATAAGATTGCTCCAATCCACATCCTCCCAGTCTTGAGAAGATCGACGTGTGAGTTTCATAACGGACGCACATGTATTGATCATTCCCTTCCAAACATCCTCAGTTAAAGTTTCATCCAATTGGGTAAGCAGCTCGTAGCATGAGCGGCTCAGTAACAAAAGGTGCATTCCTGACGGTGTCGATAAAACGCTCCCCGAAGTGAGAACACCGTGAAAATGTTCCTCCAACTTCATGGCGAGGTCAAAAGAAAGAAAAAATACCGGTGGCAAGTCACAAAGAGAGGGACGGAAACTAGTCGTCTCGCCTACAGAATTCATTGAAAGGTCACGCAAAAGAAATCGACTACATTGTACAAAACCCCCTGATCGAATATGGACAACGTCCTTAGAGGCTAAAATAAAATACAGACTATATGCCCAAATAATTTCCACCGCACTACTGAGCATTTGTATGAGAGTGCAGTCTCCCTGACCGGTGCAATCGCTTCTTAAGCTCCGATCAGCCACCACTATTGACCGTGAAAAAAGGCTTGAAGAGTATCTCTGCTCTATTTTATTGCACAGGGACAAAACTACGTCCATTATTGTCTTAGTCACACCTTCCACCAACGTGTTCAAAGAGACATTTGGTATCTGTTGCAGTGATCGGTGTATGGCAGGATGCCTCCCAGATGGAACGGTTCCCGGGATTTTTAAAATATTTTCCAAAAAGGCATTCCGTACAATAGTTAATTGCGCCACAACGTCATTTATTGCCATATTTCGCTCTAGGGATCCCACCACAGGTGCATCCGGCATCTCCTGCGGAAACCTGAGGCTCCGTCTTTCGCTGTCCTGGTTCCAGCTATCGGCGAGGCGGCTCCCTTCCCCCTCAGCGCCTTCCTCCTTCTCCAAAACATCATTCAAGAGCGAAAAATAAACCGCCCTCTTTTTCATAAGAAATGCAATCAACGTCCTCTTTTCGCGAGACTCCCGCTCAAACATTCGGCAGATAAACGCGTCATAATCCTCAGTGTCAATGGTGATCAAAAAGGCATAAACGATGTTCGCAAAGGCTGTACCGAGGTGCTCGGCGTGGCTCATTACCCAACACGCACACACACAAAAAAAAATATATGTGGCCACGATGTCTCCACCTTTTTTAACTGACCTCAAAATAGCCTCCAATGAAACGTGATGCAGCAAAAACAAGTAAAAATCACCGTCCAATACTCCACGTACATAAACCCCAATAATACGAAAAAAAAAAGGTGTCTTTTAATTTTTGCTTTGTTTTGTTTTGTTTTTCCCCCTTTTCCTGCGGATGTGGTTCGTAATTTCAAAAAGAACACAAAGAACAAAAAAAAAAAAATGTAAAAATAAAAAAAAAAAGAAAAACACACGCAGCAACAACTACAAAAAAAAAAGTAGTTAAAAAAGAAAAATGGCGTGTGAAAAAAACATCGCCCCATATCATTCTTATTCCCCCCAATCACCTATTTGTTCTTTCTCTTTTTTCCGGCGTACGACAACGTGTGCCTTTGCGTAAAAACAAAAGAGCGATGGATACGGTGCACAAATGCCCACCCTTCTTCAGTGGCAGCCAATCACACCTGAAACCCCACTCATACTCCTCCACACACACGGGGAGCCACAATATTAAGGGTATGTGCATTCACCTACCCCAAGTCACACAGACACACACATATACACACAAAAACCCACAGAGAAGAAAAAATATTTTACAAAATGAAGAACAATCAAAAAAAAAAAAAAAAACCGGAAAAGTGCGAAAACTCACACGTAAACGTTAAATGGAGCCTTCTTCCCCCCTGAAATGGGCGGTGTAACTTGCGAATTCGTTTTTAATGCATTTTTGGGGGGCGTGTAGAGTCTGTCAAAGACGTTGTTTCTCAAATGTGCCCCGTTGCTGCTGTTATTCTCCGAAAGAATACTCGAAGTATTTTCTATAACGACCTGCGTTCTGGATCGTGCAAACGACGTGCGCCGTCGCTCATTTTCGTCCAAAACTGCAGACGGAATTGTCGAGGCACTCAAAAATCTTGCAAATGAATCCGTGCCACCGTTGCGGGGCGGTGTTGCCGCGGAGTTTTCATGACCAAAGTGGGGAAAAGAAGGCGCGTTTTGCTGATTTTTCAAAAGCTTTCCGGTGCCGTGAGTGGCGCTTCCACGCAGCACCACCTGCGCGTCACGCCCTGCACACCGTGCATCCGGCGACGTCAGAGCCAACTCTTCCTGGGCCAACTTTGACTCCTTTCCCAAAATGCGGTGGGCGGATGGCATTAATCGAGACTCTGGTGGAGTTTTCATATTTGGTTTGGTTGTCTCCTCTATGGAAGTCATCCAAATAGCCGCTCTATCAAGTAACCTTTGGGCGTCGTTCATGAGATCAATTACGCCAACTACAAAAGATATATCAGTGCCACTGCGTCGCAATGCATCAAAGGAGGCATGGTTTCGTAGTTTCACCAAATTTCCAAGCAACGCCATCACATCCCTCTCCTCAAACGGGAACCTCGTTGCTACCTGGGGTTGATTTACTGGTTCATTGACAGCTCCCGTGGATTCTTCGGGAAACTGCGTTGAAAGAGAATGCATCCTCGCTTGTCGACAAGCCAACAGTACTTTTTCAACACGCTCAGCTACACTGGTGTCAGTATCGTCGTCTCTTCCTTCTTCATCCTCATCGCTTGAAAAGACACAAACATGAGCAAATCTTCCCATTTTTTCCGACTTCTTTCCTTCCTTTGGACACCAAACGACATTCGCCCCGTCCTCTGAGAGCCTGAAATGACCATTCTTTGGAACTTTGACAAGGCTCACGATTCACAAGACGCAAACGTGTTTTCCTGAATCGCCCAAGCGGGATTCACTTCTTCAGCTGGGTTGTCTAGCATTGCAGCTGTGGAGAGGATAGGGGAGGAAGAAATAATCCCAAGGATTTCTTCTTCCAAATGTACTGGAGGACACTGCAAGGTATATCTATGACAAAGTTGTACAGGTCAAGCCATTCTCTGGCACCAGCTGAATGCGAATGCACTGCCCCCACACGTTTCGTCAACTCCATTTCAACACCACGTTCCAAAGAGGGTGGAAGTAAAGGGCCACTTTTTTTCTTCTCCCGCTCTGGAGGTGAGAAATACAATGCCGCGGGTGAAATAGGCGACCCAATGTCCTTGTCCTTACAGGCAATGGGGCTGATAAAACCAAGCGGATCACCGCCACCTTGAGCTGCGATGAGAGCCTCAAGACGGCACAACTCTTCCCACGTAGAGTTATCAGTCTGTGTTGAACGCCCCGTCCTAACTCGGCGTTTCTCCGCTTGAGCGGGAACAACGCTTGTAGGCTGCGTGCTCATTACCCGGTGCCTTGCGGTGTGCTGTGAGGGGACAATTTTGTTGGCGTTAGGGGATTGATAAGACACATCCGTCTCTAAAGGAGAGCCACTCGCACTTACTTTCCGTGGAGGAGACGATACGCTTTGGTGTTCGAAAATAGAAGGAAAAACAGCATCCCCATTTTTTCCGTCAAGACGACCGTTGCTCAACTCCTTTTTTGAAATTGCACTGCCACGAGAGCGATCAATTCGTTCAGAAGGCGCGATAGATGTCAATGTGTGATGACGCTGCCTTGAATTTGTGCGTTCTCCACGCATTTGACGCGACGAACTACGGCCCCGTGAAGACAACAGGGGCCCCTGAAGATAAATAAACGATGCCATAGTGAATAGGCCGACACCAGCCCAAATTAACTTTTCATTTTCCATGAGGGGATCGCATGCAATGCCTTTCTTCACAAACACACAGACAAAAACAAATTTCCTTTCTTTTACTCTGTTTACAATTCCCTTCCCTTCCGTTTCTTCACCGTGTTTTCGTGTGCGATTTTCTTCCCCCTTCTCCCACCCCCCCCCCCCCCCCTCGCACTTTCACCCTTCTATGGTTTAATGCCGGTAGCTAGAGACGCCCTTGTTGAAAGAGTACTTAAGTAAGTAAATATAATTATATACCCACAAAGCAAAAAATAAAAATAAAAAATGGAATAAAAAGATATACTTCAATACATACCGCACCACAAAAAAACAAAAAAAAACATTATAAATAATTTCGGTACTTCGCCGTTTACTTCAACGCAATATACCCGCTTTCATTCAAAACATCACGTAGGCGCGTATTATTAGTGGTAATGTATATATGCATAATTTCCATGTCCACTGGTAAAAATAGCAAAAAGAGCATGCACTGCCAGACGCAGGGATGCATACAGGAACAAAGAGCACTAAAAGATCGATACTCGAGGATGCATCACTGCGCTGAGGCGCTGAAGAGCAACACCCGCGGCCACGGAAACTGGCAAACCAGCGCTGCCCTCCGTGTTTTCACCATATGGCAACAAAGTCAAAATCTTTTGGCAACGTTGCAGTAAGCAAAAAGGCGGCAAAATTCCTTCCTGTGGCACAAGAAGTACTACCCCGCCTTGTGCCGTCTCACGTATTCTCTCTTCGGTGTCACATAAACTAAGAGTGAAATCTGGATCGGCGCGGTGTGTATTGTACCAAGTCAACGCCTCCACGGAACCCCTTGTTTCCATCTTTTCCGGTTTCTCCGCTGTCTCATTGACAGACGTAGAATCCATGTAAAGAAACGCATGTCCGCAGTCAAGAAACCACAAGGAAATATTTCCACCGTTTTCCAGCTCGACGCGTTGAAGCAGCTTTGTCGCCCACGTCTCGGCATCGCTGCCGTCTTCAACAACAAAAGGACCCAAGTACACAGGGGGAGTGTAATGCTGCGTTCCGACCGTTCCCACGACATTAATCTTTTTTCTCCCAAAATACAGCACCTGATCCACAAGAAAGGCGTTGGCATTACGAACAATGCCGGCAAAACTGCGCTGATCTCTCTCGTTCTCATAAACCACAAACAAGCCAAACCGTCCAGTTGATGATGAAAAGCGTCCGTGGGAACAAACTCGCAGCATTAGCTGTCGAAGATGACGATGCATTTCAAGAATGCCAGTAGCATCTTTTTTGTAGTACAAAGGGTGAATGGGTCTTTGATCCACACGCGAGGAGTTGCATTCGGCGGCAGTACGGGGAATCTGCTGACGAAAGAAGCGCTGATACGCATGAAGTTCATCCAACTCATGGCCCCTTCCATTCTCCCTACCGTCCTTTGTATCACGCAATAACGTTCTTGCCGATGGGTAGCGGGCATCCAGCGTGGCGTAAAAGAGGGCGATACCCATAGAAGTCACCACGTTAAGTGAACTGATTGTTCCATACTGTGGGACGTACACGACCCGTTCCGCACGACAGCCTTTCCTGCCGCTCTCGTCCATCTTGTCGATGTATTTCCTGCTCACTCCATTGTTCTCATGGCCCACTACAATACGTGCCGGGGAGGAAAGGCGGCAGGAAAGAATACTCTCCGACCTATTCGTGTAATTCTCCAGCGCTACAAGTGGAATTTGCCCAAATGATGGGTCATCCAAAAATAAATCTTCCCCAAAGCGGGCCACTTGGCTCAACGTAGCACCCGGCCTCGTCAAGTCCTCTGAATTTGTTTTCCTGGCCGTGCACCGAGGGTGAAGGGAATGAATGTCTTCGGCACGTTTTAGTGAGAGAAAGAAGGGAGGAAATGTTGTCCCAAAGTGCATGCATGTGCGAATGGAGTTCATTGCATTAAACGCACTCGTACACCCTTCAAGGCCGACGAAGAGATGAGAGTGAAGGCACCGGTTTGGCCAACCATTCAGAAGCCGTTCGGACCACCGTGTTAGTGGATCATCACGGAGAAATCCCCTCGGTGGTGCCGACGCCTGCCGGAACTCTCTCACTGTGCGCCGCAGATGTAACAGCCGAGAAGAAAACATCATTGACTTAAAAATTATAAAAATCAAATGCACTCCAAAAAGGTCATAAAAGAACACGTGTATATTATATTATATATATATATATATATATATATATATATACGTGCAGGTAAGTGGCTGTCTCTGCGAGTGTCCCCGTTGTCATCCCCAGGTCCCCAGCAAGAAAAACAAAGGGGAATAAAAAGAAAAAAAAAAAAAAAACAAGGAGC